CATACGCACCCAGGTAATGTACAATATTGTTGCCTATGACGTAGCAAAGATCCTAAAATAAAATTTATATAAAATTAAATGTATTCTATATTATTCTGAAACATACCTGAAATGCCTTACGACCCATTCCAAAATATTCTATAAACAAATCATTATTAGGTCTTGGTACAGTTTCTTCGAAGAAATTCTCATTTCTAGATCTCCTTCCTCGTGGTTGGTCTTCCAACATATTAAAAGGTATAGGTTCGGCAAGATCTAATACTAACTCATTTAATAAATTGTAATTGAAATCTTCGTCTACCAATTTCACAATATAGGCCAAACCGATTTCGTCAAGCGCCTCAGCCAAGATCGTTAGGCATTAAAAGAAATTAAAATATAGGTTATAACATAGTGATTAAATAAAAATTACAATAATGACAAAAACTATAATATAATAATTAACCAGTTACCGATTGAAAAATAATAAACAATGAAAACTTCAACTCATAAGTAAAATGTAACTAGTCGCAATCAAATACCAAATGTCACTTTTAAACATGGTTCATCCGTGCCATGAGATCGATCAGGTAGCGTAAGTGACCATTAATTTTGGAGCACTCCTTGAAACGGCGCGAATGAACGTAATCATAATGTGAATTTAATCTCGCAAAAGACGAGTGTCTCGTGCAAAATCCGACCTTGGCTACCGTCAAGGTCAAATATGACTAACCTAAAACTTGTGTTTTATTTTAATAGTACTTTGTGCAAAAAGAGTGGATATGAGGGCTATATGGCAGAAAGACGAAGTTTGTTTATCGTCTAAGTGTTCCAGTCTGAACTAATAGCCATACAACACTGTGCAAGATAAATATTAAATCAGCAAGTATCAGGCAAAACTATTGCCATATACTCTGATAGCCAAGCAGCTCTAAAGGCAATTCTCTTACCAGAAACCAAATCACGACTGGTAAAAGATTGTCTAGAAGACCTGGCAGAGCTAAGTAGTCAATACAAGGTGACCCTAGCCTGGGTGCCAGTCCGTGAGGGATATCAGGGCAACGAAAAGGCCGACGACTTAGCCCAAGAAGGCTCAGATAAGGCTATGACAGGCTCCGAACCCTTCTGTGGAGTTGCTAAGGCATTGTGGAAGGCATTCATCAAATAATGGATACAAAAAGAGTTAGGAATGGTGGAACTACTATCCAAGACTGAGACTGGCCAAACAGTTCATCAAGGAACCATCGGCCAAGTTCAAGAAAGACCTACTGGATCAAAAGCGTCAAATCATTAGCATATTAGTAGGTTTTCTTACTGGACACTGTCGTCTCAAAAGGTGTCATCAATCCAACAGAAGAAGTAACTTTGTGCAGGTTCTGTGAAGAAGAAGGGGAAACTTCATTCCATATCCCGTGCCAATGTGAAGGCCTGGCTGGGATGAGGTTTCTAACATTGGGCGAAGAAAAGCCAAACGCATGCAACTACATGCGGGAGCCACTGTCAAAGCTACTAAGTCAAATAAAAAAGACCAAGCTAGACGACATACTCTAAAACAAACGGAAACTCACAATAGATCTGAAACGTTCGCGGTGGACAAGGACAAACAACGTCCAACTCCTAATCTAATCTAAGTGCGATACGGACAATCCACTCGAGTTGTACAGTATATTTGTTGTAAAATAAATTTGTATCATGGTCCAGCTTTTTGCTCATTTTGTATAATATATTAAAAAAATAGTTTTGGAAAGAAATTGTAGTTGTAATGATAAACCGGTAAATATTTTCAATGCATTTGCACATATAAAAATGTAATAAATAAAAATACTTACATATGTTTTTCAAAAAAGAAATGTATTTTGTCAAATAATTTAACAAATATATTGTGGTAAAATATTAGGTAATCAACAATTATTTCTTTGTTAAATTTTTTAATATTTGATTTCTCTCCTTCTGTACCAATAAAATTCCTTCAAAAATAATTCTATTTTTTTAGCCCATTCACTCTCTGTCTTTCAATTTCCAAATGATTTCTTCTATAATGATTGAGATATGTTTCACGTTTTCGTTTTCGTGTTGTGTTTATTGATGGGGTGTTGGCCAATGGCAGCTCTCTTGGGGTCTCATTCAAGGAATGTGGCATTTTCCAAGACTCATGAGTCTAATCATCATAGATTCGTCCAGCAAACTACTTCGCCTGGCTGCTTCTGAGGAACTTCCTGGCCTGGCAGCATCCATAGACCTGCTTGACCTGGCTGGGTCCATTGAACTGCCCGGTCTAGCTGCTTCTGATACATTTTCTGGCCTGGCTGCTTCTGATGACTTCCTGGCCTGGCTGCTTCTGATGAACTTCCTGGTCTGGCATTATCCATGGATCTGCCTAGCATTGAAGCAGTTGTCTGTGGAAAGTTGATTCTCCCATTATGAAACATTTCATTCATTTCCTCAAAAAACTCAAGTGATGCGTCTTACTCCAGATTTTTTAGAACGGTCCTTCTGCACTGTGAAGGTGTTTTTTAAATTGCGAAATGGTCTATCTATGTTTTCGTGCGTTACATTGTAATTTTTTTCTATAAATATTTTGAATTTGAATCCTTAATTCCCTATTTTTTATTTTAGGATTTCTAAATCTATCTATTATTACTCTCTAATGAGTAGTCATGTTCCTGAACCAAACCTCACTGGTGACTAAAAAATAAAAATAAAAAAGATGTATTTAAAAGTACATATACAGTATTATGCCATACAGTATAAGTAAAATGAGCGATTATTTTGTAGCAGGGGTTGCTTTGCTTAAAATTTTATGTGTAACTTTACTCACAGGTGAAATAGATCAGCCCTTAAAGTAATTTCCCAGTTAATTGGTACCAGAAAATATCCTCATATCCCTCATTGTCTTCTGCTTCGTCCAGCTTGATGCCAAAAAAATTCGCCACCTCTGTGATTGGTTCTTTGGCGAATGCATCATGGGCTAAAAATAAAAACACATTTTAAAACTACAAATTGTGATAAAAATTATACTAAATGATTGATCAAGTAGCATATGGCGCGGATGAACGCAACCAATGGTGCGAGCTTTAAAATGTAAAGGTAGATCGTGCTAAGATGTTATTCCTAGGCTGTTAAGTTTCTATTGAACATTAATCTATGATAAATATAAAAAAGCCTTTATTAGTTTTTTTTTTATTAAATGTTTATTGAAAGACGAAATAATTTTAAACATTTTAAACAGGTATTCACATAAAATATTAATATTTTTGCATTCTTTAATATCCTGTAAAAATTTAAAAATTGTAAATAATGTTTTTATATTTTTTTATATGGGTTGTAGTAGTTACAAAAGTAAGCTTTTAATTATGTTAACAATAATAATTAAGCTTAAAGCCTGGAATCTGACTGTGTAATATATTGATTGGCATTGGAAACGGTTGTTAGTCACTATGAACAAAGCACATACTAAAGGGTTTGGATATTAAAATAGATATATTTTAAGAATGATAAATTATCCACATCTCAAAAGTCGTCAGTTTATTCAAGAAAAGAATGAAACCTCAATATCAACACCACATCAATTTTAAAACAAAAAATATAGGAGCGACTAGTTTCGGCCTCACTGGGCCATCTTCAGGCCTGTAATACAATAATCCTTAAAAAAACAGGAACAATATAAATTAGGTTGGTCACTTACGATTAAATTAAATAGTTGACAAAGTGTATAAAACATTAAAATGGATCCATATTGTAGCATTACAGGAACAGAAAAATTATCGATGGGTATTGAAAACTTAATTTAAACTAATACCAAGAATCATGTATGTGTACAAGCATTGTGGATGAATTTTAGCTTTTCGGGACTACTAATCAAGTTGTGAAAATTACATAGTGGTCTAGGAAAAGTACCAATCCAAAAAGGGTCTGTTATTAAATGGGTTATAATGTCTACAGACTGCGAGTATCTGTAGTAAATGAGGGCCTGAAGAGCGTCATTAGAAACTCCGGCGAACATCCGTCGAGGGAAAAGTTCTTCAATTAGTGGAACTAAACCCCGCTTAAAGGGTATCATAAGAAGGATCTCAGGTAGACAGAATAAAATCATGACGATGGTAATGAGACAAAAGTAGAAAACTCCTTGATATGGTAAGCGGAAACTACTACAACTGTAAAAACTTTCCAGAAGTAGGAATGTGGACCCCTGCGAGGAAAGGGAGTTACCTTTAAAAGAACCAGTGAAATTGATCACCTACACGGATTTAAGATTTTTAAAACAAAGGTACCAAGCACTGGTTGTAATGTCGAGTACCGAAAAAACTTATTTGAGAATTAAATAAGATTGATTAAATTTTATTTTATAAAATTACTCAGATGTTCAGAGGATTTCCAGTGTATGTGTAGTTAAATCTAGTGTGAATATTTACATTAGACTCAGTCTTAGTCAATAATATTTGTTTCTTCAACCAACGTTGTTTTTTTGAGTTATTTCTCATTCAGTCTTCTCTTTTTTGTAGAAAACAGACGCACTTGTTTTTCAATGTTCTATTTACTACAAATTTTTTGTTCTGTTTTCAATTAATTTCCCTTTTATTTAATATATTTATAATTACCAGTTTTATCTGTTTTAGCAGGTTGTTGTTGGCTATGGCATGCTTTATTAATGTCTAGTATACCCTTTACAACACTGTTATTTTCCCTATTATTTACATTAGTACATTAATTCTGAATTCTTAAAAAAATAATGACATGCAAGGATGTATATTCAAACAATGGATTCAAACAAACAAATGAATAAATCTGTACCCTCGATCGTACTCCGCGTGGCCTCGGATCAAATAAATAAATAAATATATAAATACTAATAAATAAATCTGTACCCTCGATCGTACTCCACGTGGCCTTGGATAAATAAATAAAGTATTTTATTAACATAATAGTTAAATACTTGAAAATAAATAAATAATTACTTAAAACTAATGTCAGACATCATATCACAGATATCTAACTCTGCGTCCTCAACTTCATCGTCATTACATCGATGTGATGAACCAGGTCGCGAAACTGGAACATATGTATATGTTTCTTTAAGTTGTGAGGACTGTGCGCACCTCTAATTAATCTTTAGATGCCACTCTAAATTACCAGTAGCACTACCTTCTAAAGCAAGGATATTTCCTTTATCACCATTAGTAAATACAAGTTGTTGGTGTGAACTTGGCCATACATAGCCTCCGGTAGCGTACATGTTCTTCTGTGCCATACAATCTATATTTGTTAATTCTCTAGTTTGAGTAGGCACTGCCCTTGATTCGATTAGGTCCAGGGGAAGAAGTCGGAAGTAACCATTATCCAACTTAAACCAACAGGCAACACTGACCACCTTAAACTCCATTTTGACATAAGAGATTTGTACTCCTGTACCGGTGAACAAGCCTAACTGATTACAAGCAGCAGAAATTACATTGCTAGCATCAATAGTAGAAAAGGCTGTAGTTAAAGATGCCATCGACCGAACTATTGCAGAATTCCATGGTTGGGTCGAAAAGACAGGTGGCATTACACTTGGTCTAAAAACTTTGCCCTTGGTTAGCTGCGTAATACGCGCTTCTAATTGATTAAATTTACTATTTGCGGCACCTGGAGTGAAACTCCTATTGCCGTTATTATTACGAGGAAAACCTCTACCACGACGATTATAATTCATTTTAACAAATTATTAAATATTTAAGTTAGAGAATGAATTAAATTATTATTATTATTATTAAAATTAATTAAATTTTGTCCTCAGGTCCAGAACACCAAAATAAACAATTAAGAAAAGAAGAAATAGATAAAGGTCTATTAATTTACAAAAGCGGAACACTTTCGTAGCTTTCAACACGACCAGTTCTAAGTATTTTATAAAATCTAGAAAATTTCGCGACAATTACTAAAATCAATAAAATTATAGTGACACAAATCAGTGTACTTACATATGAATCGTCGGTTACAGTTACGTTTACAGCGTACTGTATACTAGGAACCTGAGTCGAAGTTGTGGGTATAATTATCATTTGTGTGACCAACAGTAGAATCTACAATAAAAGTTAGATTCTATCAAGCTACTTACATAGACACATACCTAAGCAATCAACAAAACTTTCACACATAAAGTTTTAAACATTCCTGTTATGGGCAATGAAATTATTATTCGGCATCCGCCTTCAGTATAAATACTCTAATAAACTTCGTTTTATTTGTTAAAAAAATGGTGAATATGCTTACAAATATTAAGTTTAATGATACTATCAATGCAAGTGCATTTGAATGTATGCAAGAATTCATTTTCAAGGCGCTTAGCCTTATCTTGTCCAATTTTTTGACCTAATATATGATTTTCTTTAATTCTTTAAATTTCATCTGTAGGTGAATTTTTTGCCAATTTGATTATTCTCCTGAATAAGCTGTCTCGTGATATTTTCAAAACTGCATCATTACTTTTATCTAATTGTCTTTTTTCCATTTTATAACTTGTAGTGATTCTAAATACATTTTGCCATAATAATCATTAAAATATTGACAAAATAAAAGTATATTGATCTGCATAAAGATCAGCTAAAACTAGTCAAACACTTATTGAAATCATCAATCGAAATACACTGCAGGAACTTGAAGTTTTTTCTTACGCGGCTTCGGTTGATTTTCATCATATCGCATCGACTTTAAAATGTCAATAAATGAAGCGTTGATGTCATTTTCGGTGTCAGTCGTTTCAGTTTCCACAGACAGCATATTCAATATCTTAGCGGCATTTCCGGGTATAAGCATTTTTCAAATCCGGCAATTATATTTAGGAATGGTCCTTTTTCATGATGCTCAACAATCTTTCTCCAACCACCCATTAATGGTCGAAAGAAAGCGACGTCTAAAGTTGTGTTAAATATGTGGAGTTGCTTGGTAGAAGTATGAAACTAAGTTTGTTTGCAGAACACAATACACACAAAACAATTGATTTTATTGAAAAATGTGAGGATAATTTGTCCACAATCAATATCTTCTTGCCAGGCAACTTTCTTCGAAACAGTAATTGTCGAGTTTCACATTTAAAGTTTGTACAACACCCTGTATATATATAATAATTATAGGTTTTTTGAAAAATATCAGTTTCCTGAAATTGTTGGTGCAATTTACTGTACCCACGTTGCCATTTTATATTCAAGATTACATTCAATATACATTCAACGTTACATTCAATATACATTCAGCATTTCTAATTTCCGAACAACCCCTACAGTCGTCCCTGTAGCCTGCACTATCTCATACGATTAGGAAGTTCTCTAACAGAGGAGTACAAAGTACTTACATCTCCAAGACCTTATGGATCACACAGGTTTTCAAACTTTCTTTATTGATACAATCCACGAATAGTATTGGATCAGATTTCGACCTTATTTTATATGTGGCGTGATACACCAATCAAGCTTGTACATCGGTGTTACCGCTACACCATTATTGCTCCACCATCAGGTGACTCAATTCGTTACAACAGGAAAGTATATACTATAGTCTTAATATTCAGATGATAAATGTAAAAATTACTAAAGCAAATAATTTTTACAACAAAATTAATCTATCTAGATCTTGTTTTTTTATTTCAGATATCGATGCCTTAATTCTAACACCTCGTAACCCACAAAGAGTAAATTTTACAGTAGAGGCAAAACACTCTCTCCTGATATCGTGCGTGTTAGGACTTGTTAGAAATCGCGGGAAACAACTAAAAATATTTGGATAAGAGGTTTTAGTATCCGATAGTGTCCATCTTTTTCTATTGAGTAAAAATAAAAACATGAATTCGTAAAAATTGTGGGGTACGACTTGTTAGAATTAAGCTATTGATATGTGACAGTAATATAGTCATAACTAATTGTAATGCCCGTTTTTCTGGGTCAACACATGACTGCGATTTGGTCCAGTTAGATCTTGGTTAATCGGTAATGAAATGGTACTTGTTTTTAATATGATAGCCTTAAAAAATTGTATAAAGGGTAATATTTACAATCCTACATTGTTGTCACACTCCAACTAGGAGTGTCCTCTGACAGGGAATGTGATTTTTATTTCTTTTAAGCCATGAATTCTGTTATTTACAATAAAATGGATAAAACTAAAAATAGTAAAAATTTTATTTTGTCCTCCGGCAGAGAGTCGCAGAAGATTTGCAGTTCTTCATATCGTATCTAAGTAAGTATTGAGAAAATAAAAAAAAAAGAAGAAAACTTCGTTGGATCCTTTTTTGACGATTCCTTTAAGATATATATAAAATATCGACTGACCAGAAGAGAGGACATGTACGTTAAAGGCATACATAGACAATTGCGTTTATAGTACACGTCGTTCGTGGCTATTTTTGGAATTGAAATAATTGTTGCCAAGTCAATACAGATGGCTTCTTTTTTGTTACATTTTTTGCAATTTTTTTTGCTTCCATTTCTCTTAATAGAACGCTTCGCTTTTCTCTTATGTAAATCATTCATTAGTGTTAATTTTCTAATCTCATCTGTATCCTTTTTAGCAGACAAGCTTTATAATAATAATAATTTATTAATTATTATAATTTATAATATAATAATTCGAAATTCGTCACAAGTTACACATGTGTCATTCCGGGGGTATCCATACGAAATATTGAATTCTTTATTAAAAATTGTTCTGTAAGTTTCGTAAGAGACCTTAGCATTTGGATGCGTTTCCTTAAAGAGGGTAAACATTTTTTTATTGTAAGCTCTTCGCGTAAATAAGTTTTTTTTTATCTTTTAGATTATAGTGGCTTTGGCCACCGTTAAAACTTAAAACAAACGTTTGGTTAAATCGTCCAGCTTGCAATGCAGTACACTATGCTTTCCACGTCTATTTTTTGGAGCTGCACCAGTTCGTTTTAGGTTTTCCTTTATATAAATTAGTTTGTATTTTGTTATTCCATGCATAAAACAAAACGCTTTGGCACATACAGGAATATCACGATCGAGAACTCGAATTCGATATGAACAACTAGCATCATGGAGAGTAGCAGTACTCTCGTTTTGACGTAGCCTTCTTTATTTGACAGACATCACCGTAATCAACCCAGCTAAATAAGAATTTTGCTCATCGTGAGAGAGCAGGTCATTGAAGTTTCTTAATATTCCTTTTCTTTGTTGTTCGTTAATCACAGCAAAACAATTCAATATGAGACAGTTATAACGCTGTCCAGCTTTATGGGTCGATAATTTCAACTTTTTAGAAACTTCTGGCATCCGGCCGGTTTTTTTTTTTTGAATTCTTCATTTTGTGCTTGACCGACTCGTCCGAATCACTACTAGCACACAAAATACAACAAACTAACTCTTTCGCGGACACTATAACACTTGAAAGTTTTACGCAATATTGCATCAGATGGTTTTTTCCTGCACGCTTGGACCAAGCTTGTTTTTATCATGTATGCAAAATTTTTAATAATATGCTACACAAAATTACGCTAGTTTTTTCCCGGTTTGAGTGACCTGAAATAAGCGCCTTGAGTAGGGGAATTTAATGGTGCCCCTACCTAAATTTTCAATAAAAAGTGACATATCTGGTTTTTCCCTGCACTCTTCAACTAAGAAACTATTTCTTACTAGATAGACACTTTTTAATAAATATGAATTATAAGGTAAAAAGAAATTAGACAATAATATAAATTAAAGTAAAATATGTAATGGTCGACAAAACTTCCTAGGAATATTCAGCATTCGGGATGAAATCTTCAAGGGTGTCTGTGTTTATTTTAATCCAAGTAAGATTAAGTCTTGAACTGGAAATAGATACACAAAATGTGCCACTATTTTTCAAGGAAAGGTTATCATTCTGTTTATCGCTAGAAAAAAGTCTGCATCGTTCTTTAAATGCTTTGTCGGTAGAGTCGGTTTTATTTCTATTTTATTTTTATTTTAAAGATTTTTAAATTATCCAATCAGGGCGTCTAAACAGCCTCATGCTCCAGAAGCTTTAAGGAGGCTTGTAGCAAGTGAGCGAAATGTTGATGGTAAATTTTAAAATAATACTACTTATAATTTTTTTATTTTAGTTAATGAATGCGATACTGAATCTCAAAAAACTAGTGTACAGACGAGTAGTGAAACTGATGTATGAGCCACCCATAAAAAATCTTTATTAAACAATAAAGCGACTAAATGTTTATTAAACTTTCGCGGAAGACCTGAATACCAGAGAATCTTTTCAAATAAAAAAAGAAAAGAAAATTAATATTTGGCAGAAAATAGCGGAAGAAATTAAAGAAGCATGGTGCAATCTAGGTGAATACATAAAACAAAATAACCGGAAAATGCAGGCAGAAATTTGCACACTTGCAGAAAACATATTAATTTTTCAGATTCGATTAAAAAAACAGGTGCAGAATACCAAAGCAAGCCTTCATATTTTGACGAAATTCATAAAATTTTAGAGGAAAAAGATAAAGTTACACCAACATTTTTAATCGATTGAATTACTTCTAATAATGAAAAACTCATACCTACTGATGTGGATCTCTAGCAGAAGCAGGCCCATCAACAAGGAATGTAGATATAAGTTCAGACGGTGAAACTCAAAGCAGACAAGATTTAGAAGACTCCACAATGCAGAAAAATCGATTAACAGGTGCAAAAAATAGTTAGGAAACAAAGTACTAAAAGTAATATTGTAGAT